CACCACAGAAACTGGATGTTTTCAAAGTAGAGAGGGTGGGGCTGCAAAAGGGAGACAGGACAGATCCAGGGGGGATGGATCTGCCAAGTGTCTTCACCGGCTCCGGGCTGCCCTGGGGTGGCTCTGAACACCATGAACCTCACTGGCCCACCAGGCCCCTTCCATTCCTGCTGGTCGAGGAGCAGCCCCACCTGAGAGCCACCCGAGAAGTGGCTACGTTGACCACCACATGGTGCAATTGTATCCGCGCACAGCTAGCTCCCAGGAACACTAACGTGAAAACTTCCTTTCCTCTAGCCCTCCAGGAGGAAGTGGAGGGGCATTTCAAAGTAGAAAGGGAATCTGCTCAGACTCACCTTTTGTCTCCCAATTCTTGGCCACAAATCACTGTGTTAGATAAGAAAAAATTCTAATGTAAAACAGCACTGCAGCATGTAGGATGGTTTTGGGCCTTGGGCTCAAAGACACACAAAGATCTGGGTTTGAACCCCATCTCTGCCCCTGCGTAACAGGGCCTGGGTTTTGGGGGGGTTTTGGGGGTGGTTGTAATTTTTTATTGAGGTAATGTTGGTCGTTTGCATTTTGGAAGTATAGGATTCCCCCTCCTTGGGTATTGTTACACACCACCAAAGCACCCACAGTTCACCACCATAGTCCATTGTGCTCGCACCCCACTGTTTTCACCCCTCCACCCTGCCCCTTCCGGATGCCTCAGTTCTGTAGTCAGCTTTCAAGGGTTGGTTTTTGAGTTTGGCTTTATCTACCTGACCCTTTGTTTGATTTTTCCATATTCCACATGTAAGAGACACCATTTATTATTTCTCTTTTTCATTCATTCTTATTTCACTTAGCATGGTGGTTTTATTTTATTTTTTATTTTTTTTTTAAATAGAGGCATGTTTTATTTATTTATTTGTTTGTTTGTTTTGTTTTTGTTCATACAAGCACTGGGTACAGTCAGAAGCGCGGGAGGGTGGGAGAATTCACCAGAGCCAGAGCGGGGAGCAGAGCAGGCAGATGGACGAAGCACACTGCTGAGGGGAGCAGCGGGCGGCAGGAGAGGTCTGCACGCCATGTGGGACCCTGCTCTGGTGGCCGGGGAGCAGCCGGGGATCGAACCGGCGCCGCAGAGGCCGCGGGCAGCTTCGCAACCCAGCGCTCAACCGCTGCGCCACCGGGGAGGCCCTTAGCATGGTGGTTTTAGACCAAGCACTTTACCTCTCTAAGCTTCCGCGACATGGAAATAACACCAGTGCTATTTCCCAGGTTGGGCTGAAAATGACTGAAATTGTTCATATAAAACTAAAAGTAACGGGCCTCCCCTGGTGGGGCAGGCAGTTGAGCGCCGCATTGTGAAGCTGTTCTCAGCCTCTACAGCACCAGTTCGATCCCGGCCGGCCGGCAAGGGTCCCACATGGCACGGCAGACCTCTCCCGTCTCCCCTGCTGCTCCCCTCAGAAGTGTATTTCATCAGTCTGTCTGTTCTGTTCCCCGCTCTGTCTCTGGTGAATCCTCTCACCCTCCCGCGGATCTGGTCTGTACCCCAGTTCTTGTATAAATAAATAAATCTTTAAAAAAAAAAAAACTAAAACTAAAAGTGCTGATTACAGGAGCTGGAATATAGCAAATGTTAAATATTAATGTTTCTGTCATCAATGTCCCGCACATGAAATATTCAGAATGGGCTGGGAACTGTCTACTCCCAGGCCTGTTGTGCTGACCTAGTTCAAGCCACGTTCCATGCTAGATTATTTCGTTTTTACTGCTGTTCATAGGTTGGGTTTTTATTTGATTCATTCTTTGATTTCCAACTTTGCCTTAATTAATTTTCATTGCAGATTTTGTCACTTTTTTAAGTACAGATTTATTAGAAAGGGTCCAACCACATCTTAGTCATCTGGGGATGAGTTTACAATGGTTGACTTCTGGCTTCAGACCACTTTTATGCCAACACCAGGGTCAGTTTGGGAGGCCTGTCTTTGCTCACATTTATTTGTCTTTAGCTTCTTTGCCAACTCTCTCTCCTGCTCATTTCTAAGACAAAGATAGGAGATTCATCCTAACCCTCCCAAATCAAAATACTGGGTTTTTTGAAGTCTCTGATAAGGTCCTCCTCCACAGTGACAGACCAGCGCTGAGAAGAGACAGCCAAGATCCAAACCACAGGAATTATTCCTTACTTCACAGAAATGTTTTCCTGACCTCTCCCCATGTGTACCAACACATGTCAACATTTCCTTAAAAAATTAATTGCTCCTGTGCTGGGAAATCTGAATTTAATTTAAAAATCTTAACTATTGAATTGATTGCTGAACTTGCTAGCAAGTCATCCAATTCAGGCTTAGAGGCAGCTATGAATCATGCAGAGAAAATAATCCATTTTCATGTGATTCTAGAAACGAACTAGACCAGCCAGCCCCAGAGGGACCTTATTTGCTTGTTCTCACTTTAGAGCTGTCACCAATCTTCCTCTCAAATAGGCCTCCTACAAGGATTAAATAAGATAAAGTATGTGTCATTTCTTAGATTGCAATGGTCCACAAACGTTAACTGTAAACTCTAAAACAATTATTTTTACTTTATTTTGGTGGAAGATCACATTTTTGTTCATTTTCATTCAACCTTTACTTTGTTTCAGATCACTGAGGTCATCCAGATATACTCCACTAATAAAACATTTGGAAAAAGCAGTAGGTGAAAAACACAGAGACAAGTAAAACCATCAGCTCAAAAGCCACTATTCACATATCAACACTTTAATATATTTATCTCAGCCTTGCTTCTCTGAATTATTTTCACACAGTTGAAAAAGTTGTTTGCCTGGTTTTCTGCCTGAACATTAAATCATGATAATATTTTTTCAGGAAGATAAATGGATTGATGGTATTCTTTATATAAATATACCACCATATGCTTTACCATCCTGATAGCTTATCTAATCATATTTATTTTTAATAAACTATTTTTTAAATGAATCATGCTCATTTTATGAAATTTAGAAAATATCTAAAAGCATAAGATAAATGATTGGGTAAATTGATAAGTGTGGCTGTAGTGATTTGAAAGTTGAAGAAAATATGTTGATAACTGCATTAAGTGAAGATGCGTGGCAGTCACTGAGCAGTGATATTTCTTCTCCTCACACAACAACCCCAAAAGTTCAGTCTATTATAATCACCACTTTACAGATTTACAAGCCACATAGTCAGCAGTAGGAAGACAGAATTTGAATAGATGTGTCTGACCCCAAACTTATGTTCTCTCCTGACTAAACCACACTACCTACCCTGCCCCTTATCTCTTCCACCATTGCATATATTACCACCACTTCCACCATCACCATCAACATCTTTTTTAACACCACCTCCAGCATCACCTCCACCATCACCTCATCACCTTTTGCAACACCGGGTCCAACTCTACACCACCACCTGTACCTCTATCACCTTCATAATTTCCTGTTCCACCTCCACCACCATATTGCCACTTGGGGGTTTCTTGTCAGCACCTTTCTATACACCCTTTCTTCACTTCACACCTTTATATTCCCCTTCCTTCCTGCTTCACTCTGGCCTCCTCTAACCTCTATTTCCTTATGTGTCTGGGTAATAGAGATAAAGCTAAGCCTAAAGCACAGTATACTCATTCCCTGCCACGCTCATTTTTTGAGCAATCCCAAACATGTATTCATTCAGCCTATGTTTGCAGAGACACACACCATGACAGATACTGCTCTGGGTGCTGGGAGTGTAGTAATTCTCTGTTTACTGGATTTTCTTCAACCCCAAAGAGTTTTCAGGATTTTCTTCACTTAGACGCACCATTCATCATGTTAACCCTCCACCCAAACTGTCAACATTGTGCTTGGGTTAGCAGCTCACACTGCCTGGCCTCCACGATGGGATGGAAAGCAGAAGTGAGCTGCTCTACAAGGATACTCGAGTCAAAAGGAAAGTCTCAGGCAATAAGTTGTGAGGTAATTTCTTATCTCTTATTGCCACAGCAACTACCGCAGGAAAGAACTTCCTATTTCCAAGCTCAGATGATGTGTACTTGCTTAATGCAGCTTGACTGAAATCGTTTCTACGTGGACGCACTCCAGAAGTGACACTTGCTATGTAAACAGAGGGAGGGGAAGAAACTGAAAGATAAATTAAAGAGTTTTAAAGAGAATAATAGTTAATTAAGAAAATAAATGAGAACATCAACAAATACACAAACTGAAGCCTTTCTCCTCCTTGCTTGTGTGATCCAAGCAGAAAGAAACTCATGTTCCTTCTTTGCATTTTCTATGTAAAACGAAAAAGCTTAGAGGAATCAGATTCTTTGTATGGCTAAGCAATGCCTAGGGCAATACTGGGAACACACACAGCCTCCTACAGACCAATAATCAAAGGTGCCTTGGTGGGTTGTAACTCTGCCTCCTAGAATTACATTCTCTTCACAGACACAAGCAAAGGAAAACACATACCCCAGATGCCCACGGTGAAAACATCCAAGGCAACATCACGTAAGTTTTCATTTCATGCAGACAGATTTTGTCAAGTCTGTGACTTTTATCTAGAAGTAAAATCCCCTCCACCTGCTGCCTATGACGGGAGAGACTGCACGAAGAACACACTTTCTAAAAAGAGAGTGACCACAGGTTTTCCCTTAAATGAACTCCTCCAGGTGGAAAAAAAAAGGCAGAATTGTGCTTTTCTAAACCCAGCCCACAGTCTGCAGCCCAAGCAGCTATCAATTCAGCATCCGTTTAAGAGACAGAGAAGCACAGTGAGTACCCAACTCTCTCCTTCAAAGCTCTCCCAGAATTCAAAAGTGCCTTTAGCACTGAACTTCACAGCAGCAGGTTTATGAAGAGCTGAGCAAATGTTCAGCCCCAAGAGCCCCATTCTAGAACTCACTATTCTAAAGATAGAGGTGGCATGTCAATTGCTTTTCCACCTAGATATACGAAGCAATAGCTGCTCCTCCCTTAGCCAAGGAGAGATGTTACTTACATGCAATAAAAAGAGTAAATCCAAGGGCTGGTTCTTTATCCCTGAATCCAGAAAACTCATAACACTCTGCGGCTAAAGGTTCAGGAGTCCACTGTAAGCAACCACACCTCAAAAGACTCAGCGTACACGGCAACTACTAGAAGCAACCAGAGAGTAAAACTCTTTCGAAAGAAGAGGAAGTGCCATCTATATACTTCCCCAATCATTATTGTTCTCCTTCTTGTCACTGAACCCTTTCTAGATTCCCAAATCCAGGCCATAGGGTATGCAAAGAAGGCGATCTCACCTGGCTGGCCTCACTGCTCTGTAAACACTGCTCAGTGTATTCATCTCCAGGAGTCATGTGTGAAACATTCCACGGCTTTGCTTTCCTGCTTGGGAGGCAAAAATGTTCACTTACAGGCAGGGCGGAGGAAGATGCAGCACTACACTCCTTGTGGTTAATTGCGATCCCACTTTGTAATCACCAACCCCCTTTGGGCTCAATCTTCTTTCTACTCTCCCAATAGTTCATAATACTCTACTAAACAGACTGCAGATAATTAGCAAAAGGTGTTTTAGGGAGAAAATAAATTTTAGCCTGCCAGCCTTTTGCAAATACCCATAGAATTCTCTAATATCAAAACTTCTCTCACACGATTGAAAAGAGAAATGTGGGTCTCCCTGGTGGCACAAGGGGTTAAGCACCGCACTATGAAGCAATCCGCAGCCTCTGAAGCACCAGCCTCTCCCTGGTGGCCAGGGAGAAACCCACATGGCGCAGCAGACCTCTCCTGTCTCACCCGCTGCTCCCCTCAGCAGTGTACTTCAGTCGATCTGCCTGTTCTGCTCCCCACTCTGTCTCTGGTGAATCCTCTCTCTCTCTCTCTCTCACACACACACACACACACACACACACCCACATCTCTGGCCTGTGCCCCAGCTCTTGTATGCATAAATAAATCTTTATTAAAAAAGAAAGGAGAAATGGTAGACAAGAAAGTTAAAGATATTTGAAGTCATCACCAAAAAACTTCAGGCTCTCCCATCTCTCCTTTGTGAGACCAGCATTTTGTTTCTCTAGACCTTGGGAAAAGACTACAACCTTGGGGTGACTACACGCCCCACACACCTGGTCCTTGCTATGGCTGCTTAACAGATTCCCGAAACCACCAGCACCTGTGGCTACCTCGTTTCTGTGGGTGATAAATCCAGCCCTGCCTCGCCCCTTCCCTGGCTGTGCATCTTCCTCCCCGAGGCGACGGCCAGGTGAGCGGGGCTTCAACCCCCTCAAGGCTCAGCGGGAGGAGGAATCTTCCAGGCTCGGTGCCCTCCTGGTGGGTAAGATTCAGCTTCTCAGGGGTGTGGCACCAAAGGCCTCTGTGCAGTGCTAGCTGTGGCCCTGATGCCAGGCCCCAAACCCATCCTGTTGCACAGACCCTCCCCAGCCAGCTCCCAGGCCCGCTGGGGGCTTCGTCAGGCCCATCAGGAGCAAGCCAGGGTGGGCGTGAGGAGTGCGGCTCCTAGTTAAATCCTATGTTGGCCTTTCAGGCCCGCCCAAAGGGGACTCCTGGCCTCCTGGGGAAAGCTGCCTTTCCACCCCAGACAGCCCGAGCACCGAGGAATCGGGAGGGATTGCAGGGGAGGCTCTGGGCACCTCAGCCAGCCATGCTGTCCCCCACATTTACATCACGAGTCCCCTGCGCCCCCATTCCTTGGGTGATGCTCCTGCCCAGGTGCTTCTGCGGAAGCCCCTTGTGAAGGGTGGAGGGGGAGCCTTGGCAAGACTTTTTCCACTCCTCAGGATTTTTCCGTTTCCAGCCGCCCCACACATACCTTGCTGTCCTGAGGGCAGGCGGCCATCCCAGGCCCGGGGGGTCCATTGTCAGTTCTCGCAGATGCATACAGGAGCCTTCGGGAAATTTTGTATTCCTATAATGCTGAGCTGGGACCATCCACAGAGTCAGGCAGACAAAGCAAGAGACTCCAACCCTAGGAGAGAGGCAGAACAGCAGCCACTCCACTGCCTCCCCCAGTTGCACTGTGAAGCCCCACAGCCACACAGCTACACATTGTTGCAAATGCAAGGCCCATCTATTGTTTGCTAGATATTCCAATGGTAGAAAACAGCATTTCTTAGTATGGGCTGTTGTGTGAAACGTAGAAAATAGCCTGATTTATTCATTTTCCTTACACCTTAAAATGGCTGAAGACTTTGGAGCTCCCTCCACCAGCTCACTAGGTTTTGGGGGGTGGGCAGTGACAAACAGGTGTCAGGACTTCTTCCTGCTTTAGACACTTGCTTAGGTCTTCACAAGAAGTGATTGCAGGCCTAACACTTTTCTTTAGGGCTAATTATCCTCAGCTGCTCCACACAGGACTGCTCAGCAGCCCATTGCACACCTTCAGCCTCAGAGCAACCCAAGGCTAACCTTTACCCAGAACGTTTATGGTGTCATCCTAAGCATCCATCCATTAGGGGACAGAAATCCCCAGCACCTCCTCCTTTCTCTTCTCCCCCCTCCCTGGATCTATTCCTCTGAAGAATGACCAAGCAGAGCATCCTTGCCTGTATGCCCCGGACCCTTGTGGTTCAAAAGTAAACCACTCCCATCAGCTTCCTTTGTAAGATGAACTGCTCAGAGCAGAGCAAGGAGGAAGTGTGTTCCCTGGTCTGCAACAACAGAGTCAAGGAGGAAATGTCCTCCTGGGTAGACAAATAAAGTCTTCAGCTGGCCATAGATCTTTCTAATTTGAAAATGTGCTGACAATCCAGACTGAAACCAATGCAACTAGATTTGTAGCTTAACTGGCAAAAGATTGAGAGCAACCTTTTCAAAAGCAAAGGGGAAGCGCTCTGGGTGGTATGTTTCATGTCTGCTTTTTCTGAAGTTCTTTAACTTACAGATTAAACATAACCAGACTCACTAACCAAATGTCAGTAAAAAACGATGAAAATAATGCTTTGGGGGAGCAGAGAAAAAGCACATAAATAGAGCAAAGTCACTATTTGAGGTAAATTATTACTTTGGAGGAATAAAAAATACTTTGAAAGCTAGGTCAGTCCCTGGAGTCAGATTTCCTCACATTTTCTTTACACTCACTTCACAAAGAAATAAAAATTAAACTAGATCCGTGGAGGAAGGAAAGGATTAAAGGAAGATGCTGTAAATTTTGACCAGGAGTAAAATGGAAGTTCTCTCTATGGCTTCTTGTTCGCACAAACTTCTGTTTCTGTAAACTGCTGCCTCATTTTCCCTCTTTCAAGTTGTCTGCTTTAGATAGCATCCACAATTAACAGATGAGATGAAAGATATTGAATGATATCAATATTAGGTGCTTCTTTCTCATCAGGCTTTCAGATGACACCATCAAAGACATTCTCAAGGGCATGAAATTTATAATTATGGAGTCAGGATTAGAAACACTGATATTCTCAGAAGGTACATCTCCTGATCTTTAGAAGTGGAATAATCCTCAAAGTGGCTGAACTTCCAGTTTCAGATGGTGGACTGAACATGTAAAAGGGTGGTCCCCAGGAAAAAGGGAGGTCCAGGTTCCCTGCCCCACCCAAGGGAGGGCAGAGCTGAGCAGGGGTGGAGAAGATGAACAGAAGACTGGAGAAAGAGCAAGAGGGATGGAGAGAAGAAGGCCTGGAGGAGGTACGTGGAGCAGAGGGACATGTGAAGAAGCTGCACTTGCATCTTGGCCTTGGACTGGGTGAAACAGTCATGGGTGAGAGACCCGTGGGGAGGTTGACAGTGGCAGCGTTGACATTGATTTTGATTTTGCTCTTTTCTTTCCAGACTAGACTGGCTATTTCTGAACTTTTTCTATGGGTCCCCACCAAAAGGTGCTATAGACTTGCGGCAAGCTTTCAGGTCTCAGAGGCCCTGCTTTGGACCAACCCTGTTTAGATGGGCATTCACCCATTCGGAGATGGGTAACTTCGGGTGCTTGATTTGGAAACTTTATTCTTTGTCTTTTCTTTGTTGCACACGATTGTATTAAAGTTCCTTTCCAATAAAGGTCTTATATGTTTTGTCTTGATGCAGCTGGTGGCAGAAACTATTTCCAACAGACAGGTTTGGGGGTTCTGAGTATCCCTCTCCCTGTCCTGTAACAAACACAGATCCTTTTTGCCCCATTCTCTCCCTTCCAAGGCCACGCAAAGTTATAAGAAAAGTATTGGAAATCTATAAATCCAGAATAACAAAAATAAAATTAGAGGACAGCATTAGAGCTTGAGAGATCACAACACATTTCTAGAAGATTTTTAGAAGACAAGATGGCAGAGGGGTGGTGAGAGATGAAGGAGCAGGAAATGACAGCACCCTGTCAGTAAGAAAGACGCTGCGGTGGAGAGACTGGGCAGCTGTGCTGCAGAATCCCTGAGAGGATTAAGGGATATTATACAATCTAAGTAATGGGACTAAAAATAGGAAGATTTATGGAAAGTATGAAAGAAACTATCCCTGATCCCACACCCCCCTTTCAAAGACAACAGCCAAGCTCTACATAGCAAGCACACAACCTGGGGCACAGTCATTTCACCCCATCCCGAAATGTGTTATAGAGGATTCTTGTCTATAACACATAGACAAGTGTGTTTCATGTCTATAACACATGAAAGCATGCAGAGAATACAGGCAAGTATGTGAACATGGGCACCCCAGAGTAAGAACTCACTGGCATGAGAACATCTCAGGGTGGACTGGGATATAACAGCATCTCCCTGGAATGTTGTAAAAAAGAGGGGAGATGACCTTTCTAATCAGTATCCTTGCAAGAATTCATGAGTAGCCATAAAAAAAAGTACTGGGGACTGAGAAAGTTCATCCGAGAACAAGAAAGACCCTTTGGATATTACAAGTATCACCGCTAAATAAAGATTTTAGTGGTGAGGTCAATGACAAAATCAGGGAATCTTTTGGAAAATACTATTCTGTTTTCTTAGCAAAGATATAAAATCAAAGATTCCTTTAAATGAAGTCCATGTGTATTTAGATTAAAGGTCCTCAATGAGTGCCAGGATGAAAAAGTTCAAGTTACTATAAAATTTCCAAACAACAAAGACAAAAAGGAAATCGAAAATCTGCCCCAAAAAAGAGGAAACAATTCTCTTCCACAAAACAAGG